TTTTAAGACTGAACAAAGATATTCGGGGATCTTTTTTATCTTACAAGTTAATAGAGCCAAAATAAACAAAGATTCATTGAATTCGCTTAAATAATTGTTGAGATATATTTGGTTAAAGTTTAGTAAAGGATTCAAACGTCTATTAAATAGAAGCAGAGATGAAGGTTTTTTTAAATTTTAAACGAAGATATCTTAACAGTCATTAAGCTAATTTGATGAAATTTTTAATTTTAAATTCAACAGATTTGAGAATTATAATATAAAAAAGTTTCTCAAATCTGCCTTGATAGTTGTCTAGATACCTTATTTAAAATCTTAAAAGTTTCTTTATTTTGTAGACTTTAACAAACTTTGAACGAAGGTATCTTGCAATTATCTAAGTAAATTCATTGAACTTTTTATTATTTTAATTTTACAAGTCTGTAGAGTTAAAATAAAAAAGAATTCATCTAATTAGCTTGAATGGTGTCAAGATATCTTCACTCAAAATTAAAAAAAAACTGATATTTAATGTTGATCACTTACTGTGCTGATAACGGATATGCATATAATTGCTCAAATAAATAATATAATAAAAATTCTATAAATACACTTTATAACAGTATTTATTTTCAAGAGCATACAATTATAAAAGTTTTATTGATATTAGTTATCTATTATTATAACTAATCTAAAAAAATTCCAATTCTAATGATTTTTACATCGAATATTATTTGAATGCCAACGAGTACTACAAGATGCACCTGCCTTTTTACATTTACAATAGTTTTTTAAACAATCACCTTTGCAAGGACATTTTGTAGCAATTATAAAGCTAGAACTTTGTTGGATAGTAGCTTCACGGGTACTTACACAAGCGTTGAGAATAACTGCAAGCTCAGGATATTCTCTAAAGGTTCCAGTAATAGGAACCAATTCAATAGCTGAATAATATTCTTTCAATCTTCCATACTGACATTCTAAAATGTATATACCATTCTCCATGACTTCTAGCACTTTACAGGGTATGTACCGATGATCAATGCCGGCACAGTCAACTTTAAAAATTCAGATCTGAACCAAATCATTTGGTTCATATGTATGTAGATGTTTTCTTCCTTTTTCTATTTGCTGCCTCATTTTTTCTGTATAAACTTTCAAATGTTTAGCAGCTTCAGCTTCGATGACATTTTGTACAGCATAAAAAGATGGAAATAGATGTGAGCCCTGATTCTTAAATAAAAAATTTTGATGAAAATCTAATATTTATTAAAAAAAACAAAATTTGTAAATACTATTCTAATGCTTACCATTTGCGTGATTACATCATCTAATGGCGGTCTCTAAAATTAAAAAACTTTTCGGATTTGTCTTATAAATCATCTAATTTCTCAGAAACTACATCACTGTCTTTGGAACTTCGATCTAAAAATTATGTGATTTTTGAAGAGCTAGATAATTTGTAAGACAAATCCAAGGTTTCGAGAAACAAGCAAAATTTTTAAGTGTCCCACTACAGCTGTAAGCTATTATTTTAATACTAACTATTACCATATTAGGTGGTGGCGGCAACGATGAAATCTAAAATTTAAAAATTTAGCAGATCGACCAAAGTTTAAAATCAGAAAAATATAATTTTTTTTTTTTTTTTTTTTTTAATACTAAATACTTACCATATTTATTGCCACATTAGGTAGTGGCAGCAGTGATGAAATCTAAAATTTCAAATTACAATTAGTTAATTGTTTAACCTGAGTTACATGTTTCTTATTCATACTTACCACATTCTTATTAGGTGGCAGCAATGGCAAAACCTATA